ATGTAGGGGTGAAGCCAGTGAAGGTGACTTGACCTAACTTGTTCCACATTGTGGCCACAGGTCTGTTTTCAGCTCATGGCTCCCTCTGGGCTAATACCCATTTCCATTTGTACAAAGCTCATTTTTAATCTAGTCTTACTCAGGTAAAATATTTCAAATCTTCAGAAAAGAAGGGAAAGGACAAGTTTCTTTGTTGTGAGAAGAACTGAGGAGTTTGATAATTTTGAACACCAGTTATCTTCAACACCAGATTTTGATGATTAGGATTGGATTAGGATTCAAGTTCCATTTCAAGCATGCGTTGGAAGTAGAAGTTAGCAAGCATGAAGACAACCATGGTCCCTTGTCCTGTGAGAACCTGGAAATGGAAGGTCAGGAGAATGGGAGCATCACGGGACCGTGGCTGGGGATGGGTGGCCAGCCAAAGCCCTGTGCACAGCCTGTGGCACAGGCAGCAGAGCCAGGCTGGGGCCATGCAGCCAAAGGGAAACATGGAGGCTGCACTCAGCACCCGCTGGGAAGCGTGCTCTGTGCAGGTACAGTGGGTTTTTCTTATCCTAGCCCAGTATTTCAACAAAGTCCTTAAATGTCAAGCTAACCCAGTGCATTTTTAAAAAATATGACTATTTTATCCTGGCTATGGGCTGTGAACATTGGCAGTAAACTCAAATGAGCATTCTCTTCCATGGAACTAAAGCCACCCAATCAAAAACAATAGCATAGAAATTGCTGTTACATTCATGCTCAACATAATCCACCACCACGCTTCAGCTACTTGCATTGCATCTTTTTTAGTTTGCTCATTTTTAATTACTGTGTGGGTTATGTTATTAGGGGATGTTGACAACATTTCATTTCATCAAAGGCTTTCACTTAATTCATTGTGTTTCTATATACAATGTATCTTAGACTAGATATTAGGAAGAAGTTCTTTCCTGTGAGAGTGGTGAGACCCTGGAACAGGTTGCCCAGTGAGGCTGTGGCTCCTCCCTGGGAGCACTCCAGGCCAGGCTGGATGGGACTGTGAGCAACCTGGGCTATGGGAGGTGTCCCTGCTACAGCAGGGGTTGGAACCAGGAGATCTGAAAGGTCCCTTCCAACCCAAACCATTCTGTGATATCTCTGATGACGACCTACAAATAGCATAATTGTTAGAAAGCTTAATAACAATGTCCTACTTGCTTTAATACTGGTAATAGTGTACTCCTGTGAGGGAAAACCTTAGACACTGAAAAATCATCGTGCTTATTTCTTTCCATTAATTAGGTCTGATGGGAGCATTTCTAGGGCAAACAGACACCAAAGATCTTGTGGTGCTTTTGCCATACAGATAGAGAGGCATCACCTACTTTTCTAAAGCGGTTTAGCGATTGCCACTAGTGTATTTTAAATGAAAGCATAGCAACAACGGCAGAGATTATATATTCTATTTGTCACTCTGCATGGGCTTGCACAGTGAGTGTGAATGATAAAGGTTTTGTGTCATCGGCAGACGTGGGTGAGATCAAGTCTAGAGCCTGGCCCACAGCCCCATGCAGCACACAGATCCCCAATTCCCGCCTGCTGTGCCCTGTCACACTGCTATGCCAGCCCAGGGGCAGAACTGGCAGGACTCCTTATGCCCAGAGCAGGAGAAATGAAACCTTATGAAAGGCCTACAGCAAGCTCCAAAAGAGGTGAACAGCTGTGTGGTTGGATTTGCCTTTAAGTCCCACAGGAGGTGGCACTCTGCAGCATGATGTGGTGCTCCAGAACGAACCTTATGCACAAGCAGTTAGTATGGAAAGAAAGGGACATAAAAACTGATGCTTGTGACTGATTTCTTACTGAAAAAAGCTAATTTGTGTAAGTAAATTAAATGGGAACGTGCTGTGCTGATAGAGGTGGTAAGGCAATAAGATACATTTCTCTCTGAAGCAGTGTAAGCACCTTGCTGTAAGAACACACATTGTAAAGAGCTGTAAATTCAGGTTTTTGCCACGCATCCCAGTTCCTAAGGCTATGGGGCTGTTGGACCCCTGTGGCTCAAGTCAGGCCGCTGGCTCAGAAGCAGAGCTGGGCATTTGCTGAGCAAAAGCATGGAGGAGAATTAAAAAGCACTCATCTTTCTCTCAAGGGTTGGAGTGCTGTGAAAATACCGTTCCACAGAAAGCAACAGTGTAAGATTGATTTTACATTCTACAGCTATGGTTGTCCGAGTGTTAAGTGAGAAGCAGGACAAATTCATTAATTGAGGGAATTTCCAGGCTAATTTCCAGGTGTTCAGGGACCTGACCTATTTCAATTTGAATAATAGCTGATGACAGAATTCGATATCCACAAACATTCTCTTTAAACAGAGGGGAGAGTTGTTTTGAGTTGAATTTTCTTAATTAGTATTCCACAAATATGGCATGGTTTTCCTAAACACAGCCAGCACTTATGTTCTTAAAAGACTTAAACTTGAAATACAATCAGCTTATTTCACTTAAATGACAGAAAATAAGACAAAAAAAGAGACTTTACTTTGTTGATTTCATCTGAATTAAGGAAAAAAAAACAACCATAAAAGCTGTCAGATGCTCATTAGACATCTCTTTTGACAATTAGGCTCTAATTTCCAGTTTCATTTGCTTAATGGACAACTGCCCTGTCCATTAACTTTATTTAAGTGGATGTTAATTAAGACTTAATTACAGTTCTGAAGGTGCTACATGCTGTACCCACCTGAAAGCAAACGGTTACCTACCATTCATTCTATTACAGAGATGGAAACTATGAGGAAAAAGAAGAAGAGAAACTAGGGAAGATGAGTTACTGTCAATCAGATCTGGTCTTCTGGCTTCAGAATTTTTAATACCGTATTTGAAGTGGTTTTTATGTTTGTTTTTTTTTTTAAATTACTTTTTTATTTTTAGCCTATGTAGAAAGATCAGTTAATATTTATATAATGTTATTGTGCCCTGATGTCAAAATTTCCCGAGTAGGTAACAAAGAAATGTGTTTGGCTTACAATTTCTTTTACGTGGGGCAGGATGTGGAACACACAGCTCCTACAGTGGGTTAGTTCAGCTGCATCCAATGTCACTTTTTGGTTAATGCAAAGCATGATGCTTGCCCGAAGTAACAACGGCACCAAACAGCTCCCTTCTGGTAACTGTCTGCATTTCGTGACAGTCTTGAGCTCTCAGCAAAGATAATTCTGGTCCTGCATACTGTGCACATCTGTGGGATGAGGAAAGCCCCTGGCTCTGGGATGTTTGCAGTCTCCTGGATGTAATCTAGGTAATGTACTGACTTTACAGATCTCTGTAATAGGCTTTATATAGTGGGAGGGTTGCTCTAAATGTGCAGTCTCTCATTTAAATCCAGGCTTAACCTTTAGTACAGTACTGCTTGTCCGAGCCATCTATCTGTTAATCATTTTGATTCCCTGTTGACTGGGTTCCATCCATTCCTGTCTCTCTGCTCGGGCTTTTCTTGGCTGGAAGGGGAATAAAGTATTTTTCATTTTCTGACCCAAAATCTTGCCATAAATTTTCCACAGAGGTCAGAAACTCTGTGTGTAGCAACCTCTAGAAGTAAACTCGTGCTAAGGGCAACTCTACTGCTAACAAACAGAGTAATAAAATTGATACATAGACAGCCCTAAACATGGCTATCAGCTTAATAACAGATATCTACTGTGTGAAACAATGCAAATACATTCCTGAGAACAGCTTCTGCTCTCTGTAGCATCATTTAAGACATTGTTAAGCAGAGACATCTCCTGTGAACAGTATTTCTTCTTTTCCTGGAAAAACATGTGCGATCGTACCCAGTTCTAATACACCAGCAGTCCATGTGACTGTGACAGGGGAAGATAGTTTCTGTGATGTTAACTGGATCCCACAGCTCTCCCCCACATAGGTGATCCTGGCATTTTTAAAATGCTGCGTTTATAAAGAATAGCGGCATCTTTTTGTTTAAGAGATTAAAGTTGTCTTTATTGTCTTTATTGAAGCATTCATTCTCACAAAGGCTAATGTTCTTATTTAGTTCCTTGACTCCACTGCAAAGTAGGTTCACTGCTGCTTTAATCTTTACAGGACAAGCAACCAGCCAGAGGCTGACAGTCACTGACAGCTGTTAGCACTCTCTGCCTATTAGATGTGTTAATCAAGTTTTCTAACTGTTAAGAAACTTCAGCATTAGCAGAACAAGATAGCTTGGTCTTTTTGACCAGGTTTGTCCAGAATATGTATATTCTGCAGGTTTGTTCATTTGTGGTTTTTTGTTTTTTTTTTTTCTAACAGAACATCTCAGAAGGAATTTGAAATCTTTATCCTTCTTTTTCTCATATGTCATAGAACATAGGTTAGAACGGACCCCATCTGCTCCCACCTTCTGTCAAAGGCAAGGCCTACATTAGGAATACTAGCTATCCACTCTTGTTTTGACCCTGCAGGTGCACAGGGAGAATCTGGAGGGAATGCCCTCCAAGGCAAACTGGGCACCATGACACCTGCAATGAATGTATCCACAATATCTAAGCATGCTTGGTGAGCCTAGCTGCAGCATGCTGCCATTCATTTAGTCTCTACCAGGAGGTGTTTCAGGCCAATCTGGTAAAAGCACCAATTGCTTTATAAGCTGACATCAAATCTCTTTTCTCTATAGTGGTTATTGCTATGATAACAGCCACAGGTAAGATTTTTAGAGACTGAGTGTTCATTTTGGGAATTTGTGCTTCAACTTTTAGCCCTAATGTAAACAGAGCTTGCAGAGTTATCTATTTGCGTTGTTCTCCATGACTGTATATGATATCTATAACAGTGAGTGCACATAAGATTAAGAAAAGAGATTTTAATGCATACATGTGTATGTGTTCAACCTAGTGTGCTATCAGGTAACGGTCATTTACTGCAGCCTCTTCCTTCCAAGTAGCACCCCCATCATCTTCTGCACCCCAAAACTATTGCTGTTGGATTCTGTGCTCCTTTTCTCTTGCAGTTTATCCATCCTTATCCCTTCTATCCCAGTGTTTTTGGGCTGCTGCTGTCCCCACATCATCCCCTAGTTTGCCTGAAGGTCTTGCAGCACTGAAGTTGGAACCTAAAACAACTGGTCTGGCTGAAACTGAATGGCTTCACCTTCAAAAGGAGTAAGAATGACAGATCTCTGTATTCATACAACATCCCCCAGAACAGTAGGTGTAAAATCAGTTTCTGGATGTAGGACAAAGCAGAAACTAATAGTATGGGTTCTGGCCAGAAAAATGTACTTTAGGCATATGTGGTGCTCTAATGGGTATAGAAGGAGCATGCTGCGTATATGTAGGTATATCACAGGGCCAAGTCCCCTGTGCTGTAACTGCTATTTTCCAAAGCTAACAAAACAAAAAAGATCTCCCTGTCCCCTGGGATTTGGGATGAAGTCAGATTTATGGCTGGACTGCTGTGGAAGCCTATGTGTTCCCCCGGGGGCAGGGAAGAGCATAGACAGTGCTTACAGTGGGTAGCTGCTAGTTTTCCTCCCTGTGTTTGTCCTGTTTTCCCCATGCAGGTGGAGCCTATGGTGTTTGGGCCCTGAAGCGCAATGAGGGAGCTGCAGCAGTGACCCCCAGCCGTGGCACTTGGACAGCTCAGGTATGGATGGGGGAGACTTGGGGAGCCCAGGGCCACAGCCCCCGCTGTTCCTGGCACGCTGAAAGCCTCCAGCAGGCCAACAGAACCCATTTTTTCGCTATCTCTGCATGGCCCCTCATTACCACCACATCAAGCCCGATTTTCTCAGGCCCACCAGCCTTCCTCATAGCCCCAGTCCTCTCGTCACTCTTTCTCTGGCTCTAGGAAATGAGAGCAGGCCTGGAGTCTATAAAACACCCTGCAAAACTGAGATTCCTCTGGGCAAAGGCACTAAAGTAGTCATATTTTTTCCAACAAGCGTCACAAAAACGAGTAAAGCTGAAGTACCTGTTTATTCCTACAGCATCTCAAGGAACATTAAATGTGAAATCAGCTCTCGGGGTTAAAACCTGCTCGCTGTTGCTTGTTCCACTGTCAGTTGTCAATCTGCAGCCATTCCCACAGGATCACTGTGCCTCACTGTGTCAGCTCCGCTGTGCTCCTTGTCAGCTTCACGATGAGGAGCAAGGGGGGAAACTGGCAACCGGCACACAGGGATCAGAGGTGGAATAAATTGAGAAGGAGTGGTTTATATAGGCACGAAGGTTTTGGAGCTCAGGGCTGCTGAAAACCAACAAAGAATTAAAGATATATCAAGTAATGAGACATCAGGCGTGGTTCTAAAGGTGCAGAATCTGTGAACGCTTTTAAGCAAAAGGAAAAGACCAGAGGTGGTGCTAAACTGCATCAAAAGGAAGCAGGAAGAGCTAGAAATGAAGGCAATCAATTATAAGAATACAATTTTTTAGTCAGCTGCACTGGTTAACACTAGAACAGAAGTTGTGGGAGGCTGTGAGGTTTTTTCAGAGTAATTTCTGTGTGTCTACATGGGATTCCAGAGATGCCGTATGACCTTGCAGTATGGAGTTTAAGCCATGCGCATGAGACTGGGCTCATATGCTGTACAGGTGTGCTGAAATCTGGGCAGGCAGAATGCTGCTGCGCCCATTTCTGCTGTGGGGCAGCTGCGGTTGGAGCATCGCTCCTGGCAAAAGGGGCTCTGGGTGTATGTGAAATGGGGAAAAAGGTTAGGTGCCCTCGGGCTGGTCCAAAAGCAGCACATTTCAGAAAAATGCCTATTTCAGTTCCTGCTTCCAAAGACAGTGCTTGTTGTTCAGCGTGTTTATTGTGAAAAGAGTAACATTTGAAGGCGCACACAGGATTCTGTAGCCCGACATCCTATGGGTCTGCCCATTCTGCTGAGAAATCCTCACACTGATATCCCAGCATCTGTTAGAACTGACATATTTTTAGATGTATGTCTGCTTTGGACTTTAAGACTTGAAGAAATGGAATGGTCTGCTCACAGAGCTGCTTCCCTGGTGGTTAGAAAAAAGAAGGGGTCTCCTCTCATCTGAATTTCTATTATTCAAAGATTTTTGTCATGCCTTTCTCTCTCAGATAAGGAAAATTCTGCTCTAAGAACTTTCTTTCCCACAGACACAATTAACACCAAACTATGATCTAGTGGGTGAACGAAGAGTGGGTTCACAGCTGATTCTCACTATAGGGTTCTTTTCTTACCAGTTGCTTATCTTTTGGTTATACTGAAACCAGTTAGCTTGTTTTTCCAGTCATGGTTATTTTCCAAGCTAAATGACTACTTATAGCTTTTTTTTTTTTTTTTTTTTTTTTTTTTTTTTGGCTTGTTTTCTAAGTTTTAGCCAAAGAGACCAAAGAGATTCAGTCATTAGCAAGAATAAGCAGAGGGGTGCACATCTTCTGGTTTGTTTTAAATGTTTAAATATAAAGAAGCCTTGACAGCTATAGGTGCATCTTCGTTATGGAAATAAATTCCACGATGTTTCGAAGTGCTCTGATACCATCTTGCCTGGGGAAGAAAAAAACAAAACCGCACTTGTTTTGCCCTGAAAGCCGAGCTCAGTTAATGTCCAGCAGGCACAGCAGTGTTTAGGGCCTAGCTGACAGGAGCAAGGCTAAGCCAGAATGCTGAATAACTGCCCAAGGCACACACACTGTCTGTTTTACGTCCCAGCTGAAGCAGATGATGAATGCACCCAATAAAGGCTGCCTCCAAATGTTTAGTGGAGCTCACAGCTGTGACCCCGCTGGCGCTCCGGCCCTCACACAGGGCCACACGCAGTGTCCCCCAGGCGCTCTGCCCTGCTCAGAAGTTGGCATGGCCATACAGGGACGGCCGTCTGCACTTGCCACTGTTCCCATGGCACAATGTATGGGCAAACCAAGCGTGTGTGTGAGGCCCGCTCCTGCTGCCCAGGGTTTTCCAGATGGGCTGAGCACCTCTCCGTCGCACAACGTGCAGCTGGAGCTGACAGCTCCAAATGCCTCGCAAGAGTAAGCACTCGACATGCAAGAAAAGCGAAGCAATCAGCATTTTATGCATGTCAGGATGTGATCGTGTTTGTTTTAATTCATTCTCCAATTGGCTTTCTCTCAGATACACAGCCCTCATGCTTAATAATGCCCACGCCTTCAGCCAAAAAGCAGCAAGTGCAGCTACAGGCTGTTTGTGAGCAGCCTTCTGCATGGAAAAGTTTTGTTTTGCTTTAGCTATGCTCCTAGCATGTCAAATTTCACGGGGCTCAAATAATACTTTTCTTTTGTATTAAAGTAAAGAATTTGCCTTCCGTTTCATCCAGGTAATTGCACCATCTGAAAACACAGCTTCCCACTCATTTCCTCATAGCTGTGTGCTCTGAGTGCCGGCGTAGGGCCAGAGCTGCTTGCACGCGCGTGTATGACACGGGCTGAGCTGTAACATCTGTGCTGGGCCCACATGCCATTTCTGTCTGTGAGAGCTCCTGTTAGAAACAGACCTCCGTGATCAGTGAAAAACACATTGATTTAATGCCTCTTGGCACTGAAGAATCATTTGTACTGTCCCACCATGGCAAGTCTATGCTAGCAGCCCTGGTTATGAGTAGAGAACGTTTTATTAATCATCTTTAAACATATTCTTCTCCGAAGAAGTGCTGCTTTTAATGATAGATATTTGGTGATGTGAATATAAAATACATCACAGTTTCTGGTGTCTTTTTTAATTTTACAGGTGACACAGCTTAAAACCAGGAACATCAAGTAAAATAACTACTGCTGAGAGGGAATAAAAGTTGGCAGGGATGGCAGTTTAAAATAGCCCTATTTTCATCCTAAATATAGGCTGGTTTAATTGAAATCTAGTGGTAGCTATGAGACAGCTGCTGTATCAAAGACCAGTGACAGCCTGCTGAGGTTAGAAGAATACAGGCTGCCTGTATCTCTGCTGAGATTAAGAGGCATCACAGAGAGCGCAGTAATAGACAGATTGATGAAAAGTTGAGTTCTTAAAACAGTGGTTTGTAAAGCTTTTATGCAGTTTTATTTATAATTTATTTGTCTTTGTCCTCCTAGTAAGATGGGTTTCTGCCTGAAACCAGTGGTATGGTGCAAATCCCCGGTTGCTGTGACCTGCTTTAGCCCTGCTGGAAAAGCAGCCACAGATACAAGTAAGTCAGCTTTCCCTTCATAAATTCTGCTGTGTAGAAGCAATAATGGTATGATGTCCAGGTTTTTTTCCAGCACAGACTTTCCTAAAAATGTGTATTTCAGCTCCACGAGGTCAGCTTAATGCCATCAGTTTTCAGATGGTTGCATGGTTCAGGCAAGACCCCTCAGTACAGTAAGGCACAGTCCCATGCTTGCAAACAATAAACAAAGTGATGTAGCGATCCTCAACATAGCAGTGCCATCAGTGCCCCACTGAGTTACCCCACTAGCCAGCAGGGCCATGTGCAAAGAGACCAGAGACCTCTGAAAGTGCCTTCAACAGAAACAGCTCCACAATTCTAAGATTTAATTACCAGAAGCAGTTGGGTATTGCAGGTGAAAAGTGAGCATTTCTTATTATGCTGCTGCTTTCAATGTTCTCTAATGACCAGGTAGAACTTTTAATTTCCATGCTTTCTGGTTATTACTATTTTTTCAGCTTCATACAGTATAAACTCCAAGCTTTCAGACTTATCCTCCCTGGCAACCATTGTTATTCTTGCTTTCTAGTTCTTAATTAATATTTGCCATGTTCTTACTAAGGTAAGTCTGTACTTTCTCGTTATATGAAATTAAAAGTAGGTGAGCTTAGTTACCAACTAAGAGAAGCTTTAGGAAGCTTATTGGACACCTTCATATGTGGATTTATTTTCTTTTGATTTTGATTCTCAGGAGTGCCCTTAAGACCTTCTATCTACCCTGTCAATCAAATGAATCAGTGAGTAATTGTGTCAGAGATACAGTGTCTTGCATCCTGTGTTCTGTGGTGAGTCCCTGATTTTCCTGATTAGTGCACACAAACACTTCTTCGTAGCAGCGTGTTGCTGATGACTGAATGCAAAATAAGGTGAGTGAAAAATCTTCTGCCTCAGCTTTTGTGATTGTTGTTAGGAAGATGTCAATTCCTTTCCTTTGCCTCATGCTCCCTGGGCTGGCAGACTAAGCATTAGAAAGGTGAGGCAATCTGCCTGAACAGGAGAAAGAGCATCGTAACAGCAGAGCTTCTAGCTGAGTGAAGAGCATGCAGGCAAGGAAAGCAGGAAGATCTGTGGAATATGGGAGAAGACAATCCACAGAGCTATGGGATCATTTGCACAGACATACTGAAGGCTGCCATTGTGGTGGGTGAATTGAGTTTTCTGATGAACCTCCTTGGATATTTACAACTAGTGTACTTCGCTGATATTATATATATGTCATAGAAACAAACAGCAATTTGGGAAAGGGAACCAACAACCTCTGAAGCCTCAGAGGTTTTCTTGTACCCATTACTGCCCCAAATGTACTCCTAAGTATCACATCACACAAGCATGCTTCTCTCCCCTGGACTGCCGTGAGAACTGAGGCTGCCCAGGCATCCATGGGAGGCTCCTTGCATGCTGCAGGACAGGGCCAAGAGGCAGGCAGCCACGTGCAGCGTGATGCCCCATGTGTGCAGGCTGCTGCAGCTGGGTCCCAGCAGAGCCACGTGCTGCTACTGTGGCACCAAAGCACACCAAGCCTCACTGGCCAGCACCTGATTTCTTAATGCCGCTGTTTGTGTAGTGCAACTTTAAATGGTTTCAGATAACTGGATTAGTGAGGTTAGACGCAATAAAGTTATCTGAGACGGGATCAGACTAAAGGGCTGTCTCTGACAATGGCCACTACTGACTTGGAGAAGAGATTGTACAGCAGTGCTTCCAAACTGACACCTCTGAGCTTTGGCAGTCTGTGCCTCAGGATCGATTCGGCCAAGAGTGATATCTGTGCTCAACAGATATGGAAGATCCCCACTGATGGTAGGAGGAGTTTTGCATGAGAAAAAGTATTCCAGCCATCCCTACTGAGCTAATGAATAATTTTGTGCAGTACTTCTCTGCATCTGGCCACATTTGATTCTCCTTCTCATACAAAAAAGCAACTGTCAGAATGATAGCACGAGAACTTCCAGAACCATATGAACAGAACGTGTCATCAAAACCCGTAAATGGAGAAAAAGGACTCACAGGCTATGGTGCATTTCTTGAGGAGAAAAAAAAAAAAAAAAAAAGGCTTTGATAGGTTACTTTATGGAGGGAAGGATTTTCAGTTCCTTCTAAAATAGATAGTTTTGAACAGTTCATTTCACAAAACATTAGGAAGGAAAGATTGGAGGAAATCTGTATTTCTCAGCTTCAAAATTGAGCTATAGGCAGCGAGTTCGCCAGCTCATTTTTCTCTTTTGCTGGAAACAGACATTTGTGAGTTGTGGAAAACAAGCAGTGGGAGAAGGGAGGAAATTGTCTAAGCTTGCATAAGGAAATTAGATAGTATACCTGTGTAATTTATAAGGAGCTATGGCCACTGCCATTCTTTGATACCTAAGAAAGCCATTGTGGATACACTGCACAGTTCTCACCTTGTACCCAGTTGAGCCAGGGGCATCCATAAATGGTCGGCTTTTGTCTGCCCCAAGGACATTGCAGTGACAGCATATGTAAGTGAACTACCCTAAATTCTAGTACCTCCTTTTGTAACTCAACTCCAGCTGTCAGGCAGATGCTAGAAAATTAATGTTAGCGACGGGCTCTAATAGAGCCCTAATAGAGCCCAAAGCATTTATGGGGACCTAAGGGCTCACTGCAATGCCATCAGCACTCTCATACAAAGTGGAGTGTCATAGGAGTGAAAATGCACATCTTGTGAAATTATTTTCACGATGGTGCCATATGGGCTGGAATGGTTTTGAGATATTTTTTTGCCGTACTCTTCATGCAACTAACTAAACATGGGCAGAGGGGGGGCACTGTGAGAAGGCTGT